GCGAACTAACCTAAAATCGTAACGACATTCCCGGTTTTAGAATGGCTCGGATGCCTCGGCAATCCTAAATGAAGGGCCGTAGCGCTATATACTTCGAGCACAGAAGGGCGGACTCAGCACGGGGCGTTTGGCCGCGCCGCCTCCCGTGCCATTCCCCGTCAGCCAGCGCCCTCTAGAGGCAGCCCGGCGCACTGCCGGCAGCCCGGCGCCTACCCAGCAACCGCACCTGTGCACACTGGAGGCGTACGGCCATGGGCAGCGTCCGCGCAACCCGCTCCTCCTGGGTGGGAAGGAGCGGAGGGCTCTCGTGGCTCTGCTCTGCTCTGGAGGAGCTGAAGGAACGCCAGTTGCTAGCGGTGTCCCTGGAGTTTCAGCAGCTCAACTGTGCTGTTCTCAATGATGCTTCAGTGAGAACGTCCAGATCGCTAGGGAGATTTAGACTGGATATAAGAGAAGTTTTTTATGATAAGAATAGTGAAGCACTGGAACATGCTGTCCAGAGAGGTGGTGGTTATCCTTCCTAGGAGACGCTCAAAGTCAGGCTGGACAGGGCACTGGGCAACCCGATCTAGCTGTAGGTGTCCCTGTTCATTGCAGGGGAGTTGCACTACATGGCCTTTAAGGGTCCCTTCCAACACAAATGACACTATAATTCTATGATTTCATGAAATTCTAGCTTGCTCTAGGTGTGATGCAGCCCCATTCAGTGCCCTGACCCCACTTACCCATCCCATGCATCCTTCATCTCTGCAGAGCATAGAATCATAGAATTGCTCAGACTGGAAAAGACCTTCAGGATCATCAAGTCCAACCACAACCTAACCAAACTACCCTTAACTCCAATAAACCACTGCTAAATCATGTCCCCGAGCACCACATCCAGATGGTTTTTAAACACATTCAGGGCTGGTGACTCAAGCACCTCCCTGGGGAGCCTATTCCAGTGCTGAACAACCCTTTCTGTAAAGAAGTTTTTCCTGATATCCAACCCGAACTTATCCTGGAGCAACTTAAGGCCATTTCCCCTCATTCCATCACCTGTCATCAGGGAGAAGAGACCAACCCTGCTCTCACTGTAATCACCTTTCAGGTACTGGAAGAGAGCAATAAGGCTTCCCCTCAGCCTGCTTTTCCCCAGACTGAACAGCCCCAGTTCCTTCATTCTCTCCTCATAGGCCATATTCTCCAAGCCCTTCACAAGCCTTGTTGCCCTTCTTTGGACCTGCTCCACCACTTCAGTGTCCTTTCCATACTGAGGTGCCCAAAACTGAACACAGTACTCGAGGTGAGGTTTCACCAGTGCTGAATACAGGTGCAGGATGACTTCCCTAGTCCTGCTCACCACACCATTCCTGATACAAGCCAGGATGCCACTGGCCTTCTTGACCACCTAGACAAACTTCTGGCTCATATTCAGCTGATTGTCCATCAGTACACCAAGGTCCCTTTCCATCAGGCAGCTTTCTAGACACTCCTCCCCTACAGGTACTCCAAAAATCATTTAAATAGCATTACTAAAAGCAAGAACAATTATTTTCCATTTATTTATAGACGACATTTTCGCTATGCCAGAGTTTTATTATATGCTGTCCAGCTCCCAGAGAACAAAGGAGAGTGTTTATAGAGCTCTTACCTATAATTAGTGTCACCCAGCTAAACAAGGCACCTCTGTTTTATAACTGCCAAAGCTGCCACACTTCTTTTTTTCAGAATAACTTTCAGTGACGGACTACTCGAGCCACAGTTTCTTTAAAAAGTAGAAGAAAATGTGTTAGTACTCTAGCCCCATGATTCTAACCAACCGTATCAGGTGGCAGGCTCTGCCACAGAGCCAGAGCTCAGAAAATGCTTCCTCTATTATATTTCCACTTAATTATTCTTGTACTTTTCAATAACATTGTGTCATAAAATCATGGCATATAGTCGATTTGGATTAGCTTTATCCAACCAGGTTATGACAGACTTTCAGCCTAGTCATTAATCTGTCGTCGTAAGTTTTGGAATTGTATAGATGTGAGAGCCAGCCATATTTAAATTGGGAAGGTATACTTTTATGAGTCTACATTTAATTAGAATTCCAATAAAAGTGACACATCCATTTGAGGCAGGCTTAATATGCTGAGTTTAACTTTTCTGTGAAACACCTTTCTCTTAAAAGGAATGTCTGCAAAGAAAAACAGTATTTTCTCCAGACATAACAATCTTTCAGGCTGGCCTTTCCCAAGGAAATACATCCCCAGAGCAATGGCCCCAACTGATACTGCAGCTCAAGAGGAAGATGAGGAATCACTCGGCCTGAGCCTCCACGGCCCACCAGGACTCTCACAAGGCATATTCTTGCTCTTCCAAGGATGAAGACATATGTTGGCTTCCAATCTGACCAACCACCTCCTGTCAAGAAGATGGGATTCTGATCCCCTTGGAAGCAGAGAAAACAGCCTCTGCTTTTCCATCCAGTCTATCATCTTCCACTACACTTTCTCATTTTCCTGGCTAAGGCAAAAAATGGCATCTTTGTCTGAGAACTTCCAATAAATGAGTCCCCTTGCTCAAAACTCCCATACTAAACTAACTGACTACCAGACCTGCAGTCCACAGACAGTAGGGCACAGGCTATCAGCATCACCCGCCTCAGTCAGCCCAAGAAACTTTAATTCACATGAGCCAAAATAACCCATAAACCCACTGCATTTTTTAAACAATTCTAGCAGGCTGGATAATATTTGATGCGTTACCACAGCTAGTATTTTTCCTGTTTAAACATATTTTTATTATTAAAAAATAGGCCTGCTTAAACTTACATTTGATTTTATAACACCCTATATTAGCGCCAAGATTTAATACCTGAAAACTGTTTAAGTAGACTTAAAAAATATTCTGAATCAATGAGCTCTCCTTAAACTCTAATGAGATAAAATGTGCTATTCTTTAGTTATATGTAGTAAAGGAAACTTTTGAGGTCAGCTCACCTTATAAATATGTTGCAAAGTCATGCGCTACATTAAATATTTACAGTATTTTCATTCTCTGCAATTGAGCAAGGGGAGGGGAGGAGGGGAGGGAAAAGGCAAGAAAAAAGGGAAAAAGGCAAGGAAAAGGGAAAGGAAAGGTTAGGAAAGGCAGAAGGAATGGAAAAAGGGAAAAGGAATAAAGAAAAATTATTTTCCTGGTGAAATCATCCTAGAATCTAACCTTCATCACAATCAGATCTTATAGAAAAGGCATCCACTTTTCAAAGGCATCAGAAGACACAAGGATTTCAGAATGTATGACTCCCACTGACTCCTCATGAATTTCATGAGCATGAAAGAGGATGGGCACTGAGGCTACTGGGCTCTTTCAGAAATCCTTCTGAGGATAGAGACTATCTCTCAGACACCATGTCTGTAGTGCACAGACCTGGCCTGTAATGCCACTCACTCTAGTTATTGCTTCTTTCATACGATCATTACTTTTGTTAGCTTTATATGCAAAACAGTGATTTCATAAATTGTTTTCTTACTCAATATTTTCTGACAAATAAATTACTAAAATTAGTAATATTTTGTTTTGGCCACTGACATCATGTTACAGTTTCCAAATGCAGATTGATAAACTCCACAGTAAAAATTGCAATTCAGTAAATAAGCAATGTTTCACGTGTCATTCTTCATGATAGGAAAATATAAACACTGAGAATCTGGATAAACCTCAAGCAATTTAATTGCTTAAATTAATATTTTGAGATATAGTCTGTCCTTTCTTTCTAAAAAAAAAAAAAAGTACCAAATTAAACATGATGTGTTCATTTGTCTTAATTGCTTTTCTAGCCAATGAAAATGAACCTTTTATAGGAAAAGCACAAGAAAAAAAAAATAGAGCAAGTTTAAACATTACTATTTTAAAAATAGAAGCGTACTGCTTATATCATTGTTAAAACTGGCAGTTCAAATTACCAAGTATGGGATTCCTCTGATCAACTCTGATACGTATCTGAGTTTAAAGGGCTCTGACTTTCACTGAGAAGAAAGAGGCACTTTTAGGGCTCAACTCTTCTTTCCAAAGGTAGTTATCTTAAACCAGATGAGATGTACAGCATCAGATATCTAATATTAAAGATATATATTCTAAAAGATTAAATAATATAATAGCAAAGAAGAATTATAAAATCATATAGTTCCACAGCAGTAAGAAGCATGAAGTAACTTAGCTCCTCTTTCTGCCCTGAGGGAGGATAAACTTGCTAAAGGAAGTAACTACTAATGGGGTAAGGAGAGGAAAGAGAATCACAGCAAAAGCTGAAAAGATGCTCTCGGAGGGGATTTATAAGGTGATGAGTTACCACAGTACAGTAAGCCTGTTTCTGGCCAGAAGTGCCACGGACAAAGACTACGTACAAACTTTTATGGTATTCAGCAGATCAGATATTCCCAAATACACCAGAATAGAGAGATATCCCCACCTTTTGTTAGTTTTTGTTTCATCAGTTTCCAAAGCACTGTGAATCCCCTCTCTGGCTTCCCAAACTCCATCTTCCTGCCTTCCCAAACAGGGATGCCAACACTTCTCCCTCCTTTTTTGCTCCCCAGCATCAGGCAGACATCTGCTGCAGCTCCAGGACATGCAAGAGTCACGCTGGTTGGCACAGACCCATCCTATCAAGTGCTGTGCACCACAGGCTGGGTGGCAGCAGCAAATGTCCCTAAAACTGGTGAGGACAAAACCATAAGTAGCTTCTTAAAAGAGTTTCTAACCCAATACCAGATTCTCAGTTGCCCTGGGGATATTCCTCTGTACAGCCTAGCCCTAGGAGTACAGGACAAGACAGAACTCTCACCTCCGGGTGAGTTGAGAACAGAAGGACCCATTTCCTTACAGTATCTGGGAGCACACTTGGCTCTCGTTCACAGCCATGCATCCATGCTCACGTGTACAGACTGCAAGGTTAATGTAACGCTTAAAGAAGCAAAGAGATTTAAACTCTGGTGGAAAAAAAAAAAAGCTCTAACGTCTGCAGCTAGCTTTAAGGGCTGAGTCTGTGAAACACATGTTCATGAAGGAAAGAAAACGAGAAATCAAGTGAGGAATTATATCAGATGATTAAAGGCACTGTTTAATTATACTTTTCTGGGCCAAAATGTTCAGTGTCCTTTGATTTAACTTCAATAAAGAAATTATATTTATACATACATCTTTTGTTTTTAAACACACACATTCCATTTTTTGCCCTTTCACTGAATTGAACTGTTGTTACCTACTGAAGCTGCCTTTGCTACAGTTAAGTGAAGACATCCTAGCAGACATGCTGATGGTCAGCTGCTATTCCTTGTATTGAGTTACCTTTAGAAGCCCACCCAGCCCCAGGGTTGAGCCCCTGGTTAGCCAGCAGCGTGCTGAGAAATGGGCTTCTCAAAGCCAGCTCCATTAAAGACTTGTGCAGAAACACTGAACACTGTACAGCCTCAATCACACGGCAGATGTACCTGTAATCAGAGAACAAGTAGGGGTTGGAAAAACAGAGCTCCAGAGGAATCATGGGAAGCTAATGAAATGTTTTTGGCACTAAGGAAAGCACCTTCTAATGCTATGCTTTCCTACATATGGCTGACCCTTTTTGCCTCATCCTTTTTCTTTTGGAGCTGAATGCTGTTCTCATCAGTTAACTGTGTTAGTGTGATTTATTTAGTGTAAGCCTCCTTGGTAGGGATGCAATAACTTCTGACTTGTAGGGGGCTGTCCCTCTTGCAAAAACTCTCAGGTGGTCATGCAGCACTGCACAGACCTCCAAGGCCGTGGCAATGAGGCTCTGTGTATCCGAAACTTTTTTAAGCATCACACCTGGGACGCACTTAGCTCAAGGCCATTAACTGAAAAAAAATGGCCAATCTGATGCAAGTAAATCTGGCTCCAGGAAGAGCTGCAGAGAGGAGCAGGAAGAGCAAAAAAGGAAAAATGCTGTCCACAGCCTGCATGTAGCATCCTCCTTCTTGTGCTACTGTGCTCCGTCTCCATTCGTCACACAGGAAGGTCCATCTCAAGTCATTAGGCAGCAGTGACACCTAATGCACGAGCTGGTAATTCCTTTTGGTACAGAAATATTAAAGGCCTCTCTGCCTGTCCATGGCTACGGAGTGCTCTCACAGACAGTCAGCAGGTTTTAGGGATCTTCTGAGTGGCCGATGAAGGCAAAAAAATTCTCTTCACTCCCATTCATTCAGTTTTACTCAGCCAGTAGTGAGTTCCTTCAAAGTGAGAAAACAATTTGGATTCAAAAAATAGGAAAAACCTGTTTTCCTCTCCCAAGCTATGAATAAAAACTCCAAGGGGCATGGATGTCTTAATTCTTAAATTCTGAAGGACTTCATGACCAGAAATAATAAGTTGACCACTTATTGGTAAAATTCCTTTAACAGAAATCAGTTTTAAATGACTCATATTTTTTTCATGCATCCAACTCATTCCACACACTTTATTTTGTTTTGGCAGATTAGATTGTTTTCTGCACTGTAACTTGAATTCCCCTATCTTTCCAAAGGCATTTCTACCCAAGCATGAATAAGAGCAAGTATTCCAATAAATAAGAAATATCATTTAATATTTTCTAGCCTAATAACATTCAGGAATTTTGCTTAAGGTCTAAAAGGCAAAGTTCCATTTTCAGTTATATACAAAAAACCCCCCACATTCTGATGGTTAGCAAAAATACAAATATGAGGTGAAACATAAAGGCAAGATTTAATTATAAACAAATATAAATTAATATTAACCTATCAAAAACATACTAACTTTCTTAGGAAAAGAACTAAATTCCTCAAAGACAAAACAAGATGAAAGTTTCTTATTAAGGTCACAGTCTTCCGAAGGTTAAAATCTTCTGTTTAAAACAACGAGCTCTGCTTATTGCAGCTGGGCTGTTTGGGAATAAAGGTATTTCTCTGGGTATTACTATATCCGTTTCTGTGGTTCTTTATACTTTAGACTGGAATTTTGAAGGCTCATGGTGATTTTGAAGGTTGATCACGATACAAGGTTTTTCCTCTATTATGGACTATTATGTAAACCTAGCTTGAATAAGCTACATAATTTTGCCAAATGATTCCTGAAACTTAGCCAATAATCTGATTAAAGAGAGCAAGAGCCCACTTTTTATATTTAAAAAGTGTGTTTGGAGAAACTCCACTGGTCATTCACATTTCATTAACCTCCAAGTTAATAATTCACATTCTGTCCATTATATTACACGCTGTCTTCAGGCCAAATTCACTCCTGGTATGCTCAAACTTGGGGAGAAGTCACTGAGAATGACTACATTTGCTTAGAATCAAGTAAAAGTAGAACAAAGAAAAGGTATTATGTTGCAAGTCCTTTTCTTAAGCTGCCACGGACTTGTTCTGTTGCTACCAGCTTTCTCTAGAAGGTAGGACAGCAGCAGGTCTGTAATGAGAAGCAGCTAAGAGTGGACTGAAGCAAAAAAAAAAAGGAACTGCAGAAAATAGCTTTCTTACCTAATGTGTCCCCAAAGCATTACCAGCTATGATGAACTGAATTCTGCACATTGCTAGAGAAGCAATGATGATTCATAGAAAGATCATACGCCGAGCTATCTCGATACTGTCTATAGCGATCCTAACAGATGGGACAGATCTCCTGGAGGGCTCCCCTGCCAGCATCCATTGCCTCCATTGTAAGCATGGAGCCAAGGCATGACTCAGTGCATGACCTGTCCATTCACAGAAGTCATGTGCTCCTTTGAGAAGACCCAGGGAGCAGAAGCAGAAGGAAAGGCAGCTTTTGCGTAAGCCTTTTGTTTTTAAAAGGCTGTATATAGTTTCCTCTGCCCTGAATCCCAAAATGCATTGCTCCTCGTCCCATTTTTTAACAGCACAGAAAGTATTTGGCTTTAAAGATATGCCGAGCCTTTTGCAAAAGAGCTGCTTCACTTATGCTCAGCTATGTATATTAATCAGATCAAAGTACAAAGGAGTCAAGGCTTATTTTGAAGAAAAATCTAAATATTTTTATGTATCTGTCAAGATTCAGAGTAGAATATTATGCCTCTTCCTTGGGGCTTCCTTGTTTTCACCCATTCCCATCACCATCGTCCAGTGGTGAAACTGCTTGAATGCAGGAATAGATCAACTTTATGCATTGTAACTCACTTTAGCTGAGAGTAGGCCACTTCCATTACTTCTGTCCTCCTTCCCCATCTTAGAGTTTCATTGGTAGAAACATTACAATAGAAAGCAAAACAATATCCTTGATTGCTCTACTGCAGGATGACTGACATCTAGGTGATAGATCCTACACGCCTCTTTGACTGCCTCTTAGAAATATCTGAAAAAATACATACACTCTTCCTTGTTTATTTTTTGTCGATCAGACTGTAAAAGTCCCAACCACTGTTTCCATGGGAAAAAAAAGAAATCAAATAACCTTCAGCAACCTTTGCTGAGAGCAGGTAGGTTTGAAATGGATAACATGTAGTTTTAGGTTTGCAATTTCTTGATCACTCCCTTCCCAAACACTGAAATTCAAATTCATCAATATAATCTACTTATAAACGTTTCCAGACTTCCAGACAATGTAAAATGATATTCATACCCAGCTCTGACAGACTTTTTTTCACAGACATCGCAGGACATTGTCCAAAATGTGTTTAAATGTAAGCAATTTCACATCAAATATTTCTGCAGGTTTAATTTTAGAAAAATTCCTGAAGATCATTATAGTGTAACAAAATCTACAGTGAATTAATGCGACCCAGCAAAGAGAAGTATGAAAAGTCTGTATTGATATTCAAAAGTCTGAATGCTTTGTTTCTTTGAGTTCTCGCTTCCCATCAACATTTGCAGAGCCCATTAAAACAATGAGACCAACAGCCAACCATTAAAAGGTTCTGCTTAAATAAGCGAATGTGTGAAAAAATTAATAAAGATGCCTGATACACCTGGCTGAATCACTCACACACATGGCTGCCTCTTGACTCTGTGAAAACGCTGCACTCATGGGAGCCTGTTTTACAGCCCTGTGGTATGTGGCTATTGGCAAACTTCTTATCAGAGCAAATCTGATTTAAATTTTTTTTTGCCAAAGCCCTCAATAAACCATGCATGAAAACAAAGTAGTATGATGGATACAATATAAACATCAACCATTTGAAATGTGTTGTGCTGATTTCTTCCCATGAAAGATGCAGTGTAATATAACAATCACAAGAGTAAACTGCCAAGAACATTGTTTCACTGGGAATTTCTGGTAGAAGTTGTCTAATTTGAATCTAACAACATGAATATGAATGCAAAAGGACAAAAAGTTGACAATCTCATAAGACCATTGACAGAAACCAGCAAAACTGCCATGAACAGTTTTCAGAGATATTCCCCATCCTTTCATTTTAAATCCACATTCATGGAAGAGATACTATGAAAGAAAAAAAAAAAATCACCTCCATATTGTTGCCAAGATAAGCGGATGATGTTTCATTGGAAACTGTTTTATTACAACAGGGGATATATTATCAGTAATAACAAATCTTTAGAGAAAGCTGAATACTGGTGATTACTTCAGGACATAGAAGAAACAACAGAGAAGCTGGCTATGGGAGCCAACCATGGGAAGCTGGGAAATAATCCTGAAGTAGGAGGAGGACTTCAAAAACACAGGCATTTCCTGAAAAATTGCTTTTTCAAGGGGAATGTAGCAGGCAAATATGCTCTGTGTTTCTCCTGATTCTTGCTGTTGGCTCAGAATGCCTTTTCTCAGAAAGAAGGAAAAAAAAATCAGATCTACTGATGTGCAACTTATGGTGCTGGTGGACATAGATGAGAAATTGCAGTATGAAGGGATTTGGGATGCTCAATTTGAACTATCATCTTTCAGAATCTGTGTAAGTCTTCTCATTGTCCTTGTGTTATCCTTTGAATACAAGTGTACACCAAATCTCAGAGTCACAGGGGTTGAAAGGGACCTCTGGAGATCATCTAGTCAAACCCCATTCTTCAGCTGTTTCTCAACATCTGAACTGCCTATCTTTTGGAAGGGATGAGAGGATTTGTCTTGTCATATTCCAAATAAAAAAAAAAAAAAAGTAAGAGGTTGATATTTAAGAAGTGTTCAAGTACAGGACTGACTTAGCCATAATGAGAATGATAAAACAACTGAAGTGGATTATTGCACCTGTGAATTGGAAATTCACTAGAGTAGAAATAAATAAATATGTATCTTTTTATATAGCAGTATGCCTAAATAGTATCAAAATTTTTGTATTATCACATTATTTCTTTGTCTGCATCCCCATCCTCCAAAAACCATACAAGAATAACAAACTAGATGCAGTAAGGTGGCCCAACCTAGTCGTAGAGTTCTCATAAGACCAGACAAACTCTAAGAAACATTTTCTCATCTACCCATGTGCAAGAACTTTGTGATACACCAATATAAACTAACTCTTCAGCAGAAGTACTCTTCAGTTCACATCTGTGCAAGATATATTTTGATCAGAATATAAAATATTCTACACTTAAGGAAGAAAACCCTGGTGTAGTATGGATGTTTAAAATACAATTACACTGTTTAGCTAACACACTGTATAGGCTAATGTTTGCATCAAAAGAAGGGATCCTTCAAAATACAGTTGGATAGTCGAACACAGGGTGAATCTGGTCAAAAGACATATGAAAACAACAGCAGATACCCCAACTGGGGTTGCAGAGCCAGGAATTCCCTAAAGAACCAAGCCTATTTTGCTCTTTTCACTACAGAAAGATAAAGAGAAGAGGGAAAAGAGGAAATATGGGGAATAAAGGAAGCTACTTTAGTACTTCTTAATTAATATTCTAAAGATTTTTTATTAGTGACCTGCTTGTCTACATGGAGCTCAGTCTGAAAAGGTAGGTAAAAGCAGAGACAGTTAAAAACAAATAGGTACATCAGGAAAAGTATTTCTGTATTAAATACTCTCTCCCTATAATATCTATTTGTCTCGGGCCTAAAACAATACCCTAACCTAAAATTATATATAACAAAACAAAACGCCTAGCTAAGACAGAAGGATGTGGGGAAAAAGCTAACAAACTCTGAGATAACATTTCCTAGACAGAAGTGATGATACGTATCACCCAAGCAGATATCACCAGCTTTTACAATGAAAAATAAGATTTAGTCAACAATCCATTGATTTCACCTTCTTTTTTTTTCACAGGTACTTATAGACACACAGATCATAGCTTTCTGTGACCAGATGACACACGGACAGATCATAGACTCTCAAACAAAGAGGACTTCTGCTGGCAGATCTGTGTGCAGTGTTTGGAGTGACTGAGAAGTGGGAAGATGGCTGTTCAGCAGCTCAGTCCTGGGATGAAGAGGAAAAAGGAAAAGAGATTCCTCCATCACACTGGGAGCTGAGTCCATCACCTTAGAGCTGAACTCCTCAAAGGCTTAGTCTTTAATTATGACATTCATAATGGATCAAGCAAGTGTCCCAGATTTGACCTTTGAAAGCTTTGGCACAACTAACACATCATAGTCATTCCATATTTTCTATAGGCTGGATTTCCAGCATAATCCTGTGTTTTTTTTTAACTTTGAAATCTTTGCATTTTGAGCTAATGCCCATTCTAGAGAGTAGTACTGCTAACCGTATAAATAAATAAATCTTCCAAATGAAAAAAAGGTTTCATCATAAAACCATATATAATGGTCATATTTTAAAATCTAGTATTTGGAGCAATGTGAACACTGATGCAGTGCTGCCTTGAAGATATCTTTTGTGTAATGTGACAGTCTCACCTACCAAACATGCCCAAAAATAAATGAATAAATGTCTCCACAGAATGACATAGTAAAAGGGAGACCTTGGATAGATACATGCTGCCTGCAGAACACAGAATGGCCTGGATTGAAAAGGACGACAATGATCATCTAGTTGCAATCCCCTTCTACGTGCAGGGTCCCCAACCACCAGACCAGGCTGCCCAGAGCCACATCCAGCCCGGCCTTGAATGCCTCCAGGGATGGGGCATCCACAACCTCCTTGAGCAACTTGTTCCAGTGCATCACCACCCTCTGTGTGAAAAACTTCCTCCTGATATCTAACCTAAACCTCCCCTGTCTTAGTGTAAAGCCATTAGTTTAAAACCACTAGTTTAAACCATTGTTTTAAAACCAAAAATATGCAGCAGTCTGGATTGATATTAGATGACTTTTAAACATCACAGGGAAACTGGGTATCTTCTCACTTAAGTGTGAGTGGTGGATTATTAGACCTGTGCCAGAGAAAGAGAATGATTGCATCCCTTTATGCCCCTCTTGATCCTATCTGACGTAATCCAAACAACAGAAATAAACTTGTACACAGGCCTGGAAGGGGGATGTTTAATATATATACTGCCTCTAGTCTCTATAACGTTTCAGAATTTCAATTGTCTTGGAATTTACAAAATCTCATGGAAAATGATTAACAGGTGTAATATATGTACATATGTATACTTACATAAATCCATATGTAGAACCATAGTCTACTTGTCTCATACACGTTATACCCCAAAGAAGCATTTCTTGTTCATGATCCACAGATCCCTGAAGTTTTCAAAAGCTTCTGAAAAAAAGAATAAAATAAAATAAAATAAATCAATACTGTAATTCTAAAGGGACCTCCATGTTCATTGGTTAAAAAAAAAGAAAAAGATTAAAACCCTCCATATAGGCAACTAGTGAACAAAAAGATGTCTTATTTTCTAAAAAGATGCAGATTAAATTCAACCTACTATAACTGTTTCATTTTTTATTCTTTCCTCTACTGAGCTTGCCAAAGAATAAATAAAAACATTTAAATAATTTTAGAAGAAAATGGATGTTCAAAAAAAAAGAAAAAAAATGTAGCCAAGCTCAGTCATACAGCCTAAATTCCATTATAGACAATATCTTAGGTCCAGAATAAGTGTATCCTTGCTAAGTGTATCCTTGACAGGATTCAGAAAAGGAGGAGAAAGAGGCTAGTTTGGGCTAGTTTGCCATTATAACTAACCAGCCTGAGATATAGAAGCTACTACTAAGCTACAGGCCATAGAATCACAGAGTGGCTTAGATTGGAAAGGACCTTGAAGATCATCAAATCCCAACCCCTCTGCCATGGGCAGGGTTGCTACCCACAGAAGACTGGGATTTGTGCTGCACAGAAAGGAAGAGGATGTTTGCTCAGCATTTATACTCACAACAAACAGCAACGTCCTCCCTCCAACATGGAAATAGATTAATAGGGACAAGATAAATTGATCAAAGGTCACATATCTGAGTAACTGGGAGCAGCTGGTGTTTAGCAGCCTATGTATTAGGTACCAAGGAAACCTTAAAAAACAGGAAATGTCAAACGCAACTTAAGAGTAGAACTGTTGTGAATTTGTACTTTTGTGATTCATGCAATGACTTGCAGATGTCATCCAAAACCTATGGCCAAGTTATAAGAAGCCAGACAAGCTGGTTTTCAGATGAAGTTGCCCTGTCAGTCACTGATAGCAGTTTCAAGTGAAAATGAGATTTTTTTTTTTACCAGATAACACAAAAGAAGTTTCGAATTATTTTGTTCTTAAAGAAACTGACATTCCAAAATCTACTGGTTAAAGAAATGGTAAAGCATCTGTTATTATTTTTAGAGTTTCCGTAACTAATTACATTACAGTATGTTAGCCAAAGTCAGACCTGTAGCCAAATTCCTCTCTGCTACATTGGTGTAGCTGAAACCACTTACCAGTTTTCAGGGAAAATTTAAACTGAATGAACTGAAATTGGAATTTAGTCCATAGAATCATTAATTGCAACTCTTCATCAGTCTATATTGATACGATACTGTTGGAATGCTTGGGCAACTTGCTCTTTCTTTGCTGTCAAGAGAAGTACAGCAGCCTTGAACTGTTCAGAGGGCACTGCCATACAGAGCTGGTATCAGGAAAATCTCACCATTAGCACTGAGGAGGACTGTTAATCCCTAAAGGAACTGAATAGGCAAAGTCACACACAGCAAGGGAGCAGGTTCTCTCTGCCTCTCCAAAAAAAAAAAAAAAAAAAATTAATGACTAAATTCCAGCCTTCAGAGAGGGAATTGCTGAGTTGCTCCAGTGTTAAGCATTGGGAATAGAAATTCCCTTCAGGAATGTAACCTATTTATTGTGTTTTCAGCTGGACAGAACTTGCTTCTCTTATATTCTGGGAAAAATGAAAAAGGACTTTCTCTGCCCTATTTTAATTTTAGCTACATGCGCACAGATGAAAACCTGCAAATCCTTGTGCCTATTTTGATTCCTCTCCCACATCTTGAACAAACATTGCAATATATATATATATATTTGTAATCAACACCTACACAGGAAAGCAATCACTTGAACTTCATTTTGCAAATGAGCTACTGATGACCTAAAACAAACTTTATTTTAACATGTGAGAAAACAGTCTACTGAATTAGAGCCGAGTACAACACCCATGTGCTTAACATCTTAACCTATGGAGAATATATTGTTCTTTCTCTCTCTGGAGCAAGGTCTTCCCACCAGCTCAGGATGTTTGTTGACTGGTTGTTGTGAGAAGCATTTAAAATTACTCTATACAATAAAGGTAGCGTGAAATTAAGAACTGGAAGAGAAAAAGAACATAAGAAAGATCACATGTAAAGAGAAACTGAAAATATTGCAGCTGTCTGCCTCAGAGAGAAAACCAGCTACAAGGCATGGTAAGATAATAATATTAGTCACCTAGAAGGAAAAAAGAATGACTTTAATTTATATTACACAAGATCAAGAGGGCAATCGGTAAAAACAAAATCCAGTAAGTTTAAGTTAGTAAGTAAGTAAGTAGTAAGTTAGTAAGTTGTGTTGTTAGTCTAAATAAGAATGGAAGTTAATCCATGCACAGTTTATCTGCAGAACTTTTTGAAGCCAAAAATTCAGAAAGGAAATAAAAAGACTACTGCAAGAAAAAAAGATACAGGAGTGTTTAAAAGCATAAAAGCTTTACTGGTGCCTCAGAGAACATAGAACAAGTCCTTTTCAAAACTTTCTGAAGTCAATGGAATGTTTCTCTATTCATCTTGAACTCAGATGGGCCTATTGTTATGAATTCCCATGATTTGTGAGAGAGGATATAAATTACAACTTTAAAAGAATACAAATGCAGTTTCTGTGTTATTATTATTTCAAAAGTACTTGTCTTGGTTTCTCCCGCGGGACAGATAATGGAACGGTATAAAAAAGAAACATAATGAAAATGAAATTTGGAAATAAAATTTACCAGAAAAAGAAGTAATATCAAATAACAGCACTCCTGAAATTGAATGCAGTTATGGAAAGCTGCCATCTGAAGAGATGACTTGTTCACATCCATTACTCAGAAATCACTTCTAAGATGGCAGATGCCTAAATGTGTGATACTTAGTACTTCATAGAAAGATGCAGTAGATGCAGACACGTGTAAGAAGTATTTCAGCTGTTTAAACAATCTGTTTTGCACTGAAAACTTTTGATCTTTTGGCTGGTAGTTTTCATGAAATATGAGGAAAGAACTTAAATGTAATAACGCTATTACTGAAAACAGTACTTGGAGGCACCTGAAACAAAAACAGATTGGTAAAATTAACACGTACAGAGAAGAACTGGCATTGAAAATAAAATAAGTGTAATTATGTCACTCAATCCACACAGCACTGAACCAAAACCTTCATTACTTCAGATCCTAGTAGCACTGTCTCCTCTCCTTGTGATTTGGAGGTGTGAAAGCTGTTTTCTCAAGAATCAGAATCTATTTGTTTGTCAGAATCTATTTATTTATCTAGCAGCAAAATCAACACTTCTTTCTATTTGGAGCAAGCATCATGTATCTCTAATAGGGCATTTATCTCTAGAACAGATCAGTCAGGAAAGCAAGGTGGAGAAAGACAGGAGGTGGGACAAAAGAACCAACTGCACAAGAAATAGGAAATGAAAGAAAGTGAGAAGAAACAAATGAGACAGCAATGTCTAAAATAGAATAAAAAAGAAAAACTAATGTAATATCTACCTATGAAGTGACATTTCATCTTAAACTCTATTTTTTGAAGTCAGAGTGGGATTTCCATGGCCCATTGACCTTCTGCTCACCTTTCCCAAAGGGCTGAGTTTCATTCACCGTGCTCTACAGCTAAAAGGACCCTGCATTCACTTCACGTGATTTTGCACCAACACAAATTACTTCACCAGTTTTTCACTGAAAATGTACTGGAATGTTGTCCCTCGCCCTTATTTCCTTTCTTAGTTTATTATGGAGGGAAAAAAAGAAAAAGATGTAACTAGAGAAAGTTGTTTCAAAATAGTAATTAAAAATATTTGCAAAAAAACACAGAATAATAGAGTCATTAAGTTTGGAAAAGACTGCTGAGGTCATTTAGTCTAACCACCAATCCAAACCACCATACCACTGAACCATGTCCCTCAGTGCCACATCCAGACAAATGAACACATGGACACACGCTCAATGAAAGTTTAGCTAACAGAATTAAGTCAAGATAATTGTAGAGAAACAATTTTGCAAAGAAAGTAAAATCTAGAAGAAAAATGAAGACAAAAACAGCCACGGAATCTAAAAGAAAAATAAAATGTGACACAAGAAAAAAATGTAAGGCAACAATGGCTGTTTTCATGAGTGTCTAGAAATATGATAAATATTGTAGGTACCGAAAGCTGAGATAATCCTGGATCTGAAATGACTCCATAAATTTTCCAGCTTTATTTAGGAAAATGCTTTAAAGTGGATTTGTTGGCATTTAAAAATCATTTATAATCAACGTAAGGGAAACAACCTTGAGTTACCCTGCAGTCAGTGAGGGATGTGAGCACACAGCCTGAGCAATGAGCTCCCACAGGTCAGCTGCTCCCTTCTCACCACCCCAGCCTGGAAGCAGGGGGCAGCAGGGCCCCCCCTGCCCCAGCCCACCTTCCCACCCCCGCTCCTTTACCTGCTACAAAGTTTCTCAGGCACCACTGCAAGACTGAGTCATTGTGCTGCTGAGGAACTTGGAGCCAGCTCTGGGACCACGTCCAGCAGCGATGCAGCTGCTCTCACACGATGCTGAACCTGAGTCATTCAGTTCTGCCAGACATGGGCCACAGGGGGATCTCAGCACACAGATCCCCAGTGCTCCCACTTGTCAGAGAGTTTGTTAGCGCAGGCAAAGTGCCAGACCTTGGCAGACCCATGAGTCTGTGGGACTTCTAGATGTGGGAGCTCTCCCTGCCTCCCTAGGTCTTCCATTAAAGGAGGTTAAGTTGAATTTACCAAAGAAGTGACTGGTTTTGAGCTAATTTTCCCTTTTTGTTATTTTCTCTATAAAAAAGTTGACTAAACTCAGTACCAAATACAACTTTTTTGTTAATAGGTTAGAATACAGAATTCACGGGTTGTCACTGAACAGTTTTGTGTCAGTCTTCCCACCTGCTGCTCCAGTGCCTGGTTCAGTTGTGCTTTTGATCAAACTGGAAGCTCAGTTGGCATCTCCTGTTCAATTTGCTCCACTTACATGGGCAGTGTAGTTGTTCCTCACAGAAACATGCAGAATCACAGAATCATAGAGTGCAG